CTTTTGCAGTTACGCGTATGCAGTAAGCACAGATACGGCAGTGGGCATGCTGCAGCCTTTGTAGCCAAATGACGAATCCGTTCCGGTGATATTTTTCAGAGCTGATGGCTCCCAATGTTTCGAATCGAGCGGCACCGGAAATCGTTCACTTAGGTTACATTTCCACTGTTCGGAATAACTCAAGTCCACTACAGCGTAACTCGTCACTCGTCCGCATGTCATAATCAAAACCCTCAACAGTGAATTTCTACTCACGGATCGTAGCAAACCAACAGTCAAGGTGTCAACCACCGTGAGACGCAGTGTGCCTCCTTCCACTTCCACTGACTTGGACGAACTTTGCCTGTGCAGTCCAAATGGGGCCGAAATCGGTTGTCAAGGGATGCAGGGCTGGGACTAAGCAACACTGAAACCCTTTGGCTTCACGTGCGGTCCCCATGGACGGGTGTGGGAAATCATGATCCCAATCCAGATTACACGTTGTTGCGGGCACGTCAAATATTCCCGCAAAAACACGCCAGAAACCCCAGCAGAATGGCTGTGGAAACCGAGGTCCAATTCCTCCCCACAACGCAGCAGAGCTCAGCCATTCCGAGACGCGCCCCAACTGCGCACCTTTCGACAATGCTCATTTGCAAACTACCACCTCTGCGTGGTGACTGTTTTCCCTAACTTAATAATCCATAACACTGGCTGTGATCGCCCTTTGTTGGTCGTAAAAGAGCCTACAGAGGACCACTTGCCTTTTCTTTCGCTTCGCCCCAGTTGGGAGTCGGTCGGGTCACTTGATCGCGTGTGAGGCGTTAGCTGGCCAGCCTTCGCGTCTAAGTCATTAGCGCGCGTCTATCGTACCCCCCTCTTGTGTGCGTCCGTTCCGAGGGCTCAGCGGCTAGGATCATTCACACGTTCGCTCAATTTTCCGTCTCACCGGCTAAGCTAGCGTCGTCAGGTCAGCGCAACTCCGCTCGATTGGCCAGCGTTACAAGCCGTTATCGTAGGCGTGCTCCAACCGTGCCAGCGACAATCTTATCAGGCGATTACGCAATCATAACAGGCGGCGTTCCCCTCAATTATAACACGCGTCATGCTGCGAAGACAGCATCGATGCCCTAAAGTTCAACGATGACGGATTTATTCATGTTTTGAGATTGAAAAAACACCACGCATTTCTCAATAAATCGAACTGTAGCTCTTGTGCTGAGGTCTTTACATCGCATTGCACTAGGAGCTGTCTAAAGCTTACAATTACTTGAGCTGTCTAAAGCTCGATCGGACTCCTCAAGTGCGCGTGCAAGTGGTAGTTATCTAGAGGGTTGTGCATCTATACATTGCTTGTTTTTTTGGCAATTCGAGTACCTCTTTACTGCAGCATGGGTTTACAACCTTTGTTGCAGTGACCATATCGTTTGACCAATTGCCATTTTGAAAAGGAGAACGCTCCAATTGTATGAGTTAGTTCGGCAGTACCGGTTAAACTCGTTAACTTGATGAGGTCTAACTACCGTTGCACGAGGGCCCCGATTCGGGTCTATGGAGTAGAAACAGTGGAATTCGCTAGCAATACTGGAGTCCGGCAGGGTTATGCACTTTCTCCAGTGCTGTTCAACTTCGCCGTCGACTGGGTTATGCATCATGCACTTGAGGGCTATCGTGGTTTTCAGGTTAGCCCTGATTTCTGACTGTCAGATCTAGAATTTGCTGACGATATCGCTATCCTTGCGGAAGATGCTATGTCGCTACAGTCACTGCTAAATCGGGCTGATCAATCAGCCTCTATGTTCAGCCTCGATAGTAACATCAGCAAGACGAAACACTTCTCATCGTTAGCCACCCAGTCCGCCCCGTCGGTTTCCTTACGTGGACAGCTTATCGAATCTGTTCCTGAGTTCAGCTACCTTTGATCCACTATACTCCCCAATGGTCAGGCTGCATTCGAAATCCGGAATCGTATTGACGGCGCTGCAACAGCCTTCTTACATCTGAGAAACACATTGTGGCGAGGGACGGAAATTAGTCTGAGAACGAAGATCCGAGTATTCTAAGCAACCAATCGTGCCATTTTACTCTATGGTTGCGAAACATGGCCGCTGCGATCCGAAGACTCCCTGGAAGTCTTCGACCATTGGTGTCTAAGGCTTATCTTGAAAACGCAATGGCATGAGCGTATCACCAATGACGAACTCCGTAAGCGCTGTTACGGTCTACCAAAGGTCACAACGCTCATCCAACGCCGAAGACTTTAGTGGTTCGGTTACGTCCTCCGCATACCAGACACTGACTTCAATAGGGCCGTGGTTTCACTCTCGCCTTGCCATGGCTTATATCGTCGCCGTGGTGGACAATTGAAAACATGGCTCACTGCAGTGAAATCGGATTTCGAGCTTCTGGGGCTCCATGTTGTGTATGGTGCTCGTCACTGGAGGAATCATTGGATCAATATGTGTGTGGAGCTTGCCGCCGACCGTCGCGCTTGGGCAGCTGCAATTCGCGAGATTCATGAAGCCGGCTTATCCTGTCGCATGAGCTAGCCGCAGTTAAGTAAAGTTACTTCGGCAATGGAACAAAAGTGAAGCTCAGGCATGACAAGCTGGCGATGGTATTCAATCTGAATCATCATCATTATCATTATACACGTCAGCTAGAGGTGGGAAAACACCTCCGCTATTGTGCCGCAAATTCAATCTGAATCGCCAACCTAAAGCGTGGGCATTAGTGGCTTAATTCAACTACGCCTGGATAGTACGTGGTCTTGCATCGCTTGAGAAGTGCTGATTCCGGCTATTTTACAGCTATCGTACCTCAATTTTAATTTGTTTGCATCTACTTCTAGCCGTGGTGCGTTCGATCCCCGCAATGGGACCGAGGAATGCGCATCACTGACGAGTCACAATAGGGCGAAACGCGTCTGGTGCATTTCCGGACTGGGTTGTGCTATGTATCGTGAACTACTGGGATGACGTCTTAACAAAATTACCACTAAAATCCTGCTACTTTTGAGTAATATAAAAACTAAATAGTCTCCTACTTTCAAATGCTATGGTAATAGCGTCTAGCGAGAGGACGTCATCACCATGCAGCTTAACGACTGCCAGTGACAGTGGAAGAAAGGTGATGCTATCTCCCAGATAGTTTGCAAATTATTTAGCCCAGCCAACGTTCTCCATGGCTCAGTGGCTTAAGCTGCTTGCTAGTTGGCATCTGTCTCTAGCGGTTATGTGTGCGATCCCCAGTAGGTGACCGAGGGAATGCGCACCACTGACGAGCCCCAACAGGGCGAGATGCGTCTGGTGGTTTTCCGGACTAGGCTGTGCTGTGTAGCTTATGAACTGCTGGGATGAAAGCCTTAACCAAATTGCAACTAAAATCCTGCTACTCACGGGTAATTTTTATTTGTGTCAAGCCGTTTGTCCATCGGGGGTCTGTCTTTAGAATGGTGGCGGTACAATTTCGGACTGTCAATGTCGTTCAATCGTTACGTACCTAGTCTCTGCCATACAGGTTTGTATTTGCCATGGAAGCACATAGCTTTTTCAGTTGCTTTTATAACCCACTGGCTACATTTTTGGACTGGATCTTTTTAAAATTGTATAGCGGCATGTGCAGACACATCCAACCTCCGTCGTTTTAAACTATTTTTTTCCTTTTGCTAGCAAGCAAAGCAAGCAGACAACAATTAGTAGATAGATACATGCATTTTGTGTTGATTGGTTGATTGACAGTAACCGACAGGAAGACAAACCAAACGGTGGATGTGTCCAGACAAACAAACTTCAGGATCAAAATGGATGATGGCGATTCGGATCTTACGTCCAAAGCAGCTTGAGGCTGACAAATAACTGTTTGTGCACGCACAGAACTGGCTGCACTTCACTAATCGCGATAGCCTCAGCGAACGGAGCAGAAATCACGGATTATAGTGACGCAGCATCCAACTGAATCCGGGGACCGATAGCTGTTTATCTGTGTAAGATGCCGGCACTTTATCACACGGTAGGGCTTGCGGAGGGTAGGGCTACGTATTTGTCTCACGCAAGGCTTACTTCCTTACATGTTCCTTCATTCGGAATGACTGCGTTATCGGTTCTGCCAATGTAATTGACCTCCCAGTCACATCTAAATTGGTATACCCAATGAAAGCTGGTACCAATTAGCAGAGCTTCGTTAAACTGAGGTACCAGCAATTTCCTGGTTCGGTTTATGTGGATGACAGGCAGCATCCGTTGCCTATTTTTGATCACAGATGGGGGATTGTGCAGGGATCAAGGGACAGCAGTTGACTTGTCAGAAGGAAATCGACTCACTGAGACGGATGTACGGGGTGCGGTTGATCCGTCACGCCTTCCAGGCTGTACTCTACGCAACCAACCCTTTGCTTGACTCTAAACTTTACAGAATATCACTGGCAGTCGGCATAATTAGCACGCTTACTGTCTTCTGGTCGGGCGGTCCTGTTTACATTGTGAGTTATCAACGGGTGTATGTCGATTTTGACTCTGGTCAGCGGAAGCTGCAAGAAAGCTGTCTCACAGCCACCGCTCTACCCTTGCAAGATTACCATCTGTTCTAACTCGACACAAACACAGACACTAGGTCTTCTCTTCCGTCCACTCCTTAATTCTCAGCATTAGGTTTAACATCAATTCAGATTACTCCTTTTCTGACGCGAACTAGTAATGGTATCCGTTTCTTTTGTCAGGTACGTATTAAGAGTTCTAGTTGTACTAAAATGCGAAACGACCGAAGTCACACGAAACCCTCATGCTTCACTTGTTTCAAGGTATGATGCTGCGTCTCTGTCGTCTTGGAAACCGAGTTGACACGGCAAATATTAGCGCACCGTTTTCCTTACATGTTTCTAAATGCTCTGTGTTTCCACCAATTGCTCTTAATTTGACGTTTCGAAACTCGATACCTGCTCTCATTTTTTTCACCCGTAGGGGTGTGTTAAGTACGCGATTCATTTGTACCGTGTCACGGTGCCTGTCGTTTCCTCTCCTCAGAAACGCACAAACAGCGTGACTTTCAAATCTTGGAGTTAACCATGAAAATCGAACAGTTGGAACGCCTCGCATCTTCTGTCAGCATGGATGGACGCGTGAATCCGGTTGGGTTGGAAAGGGACGCCGCTTCACATACCGAGGGCTTCAGCGACAAGCCACCGACGTCTCAGGCATTTCGTGTAAGTGTTTTCTGCCTCTAATTTGAATACGCTGTGTGTGCGACGGACTTCGCCTCATTTTGTATGCCTGTGTTACGCTTGAATTCCCCAGTCACTTTCGTTTCCTTCTGTTCCATCACATACTATCCTCATTCGTTTGCTTACATCTGTCTAACCTACGGCGTCCATAAACCGCGCTTTGGGACACAGGTTTGATCGTATGTTCACATGTTTCAGCACTTCGCACAGGCACTTCGGACTTGCTCACTCGATCCTGTTGTAGTCAACGACGTGTTCAAATCCCCCCTTAATCCGAACAAAGTACTGGTGTACAACTTCATCTGTTTGGGGCGTCGGTCGTGCCATCAAGAAAGTTACCATGTGAATTGCGAATACTCGCGCGGCTTTTCAAAGTCTTAGCCACTTTTGCAGACAGTGAAATGTAAGCTTATTTGTTAAAGTCAGGGTTTACAACACTGCAGTGCGGACGTTATAAGACTGTGGTTGTCTGACCAAGTACCTCCTGAGAAGTGTTACTAATGTTCGGTGAGTGCGTCTATTACGTTGTGCCGAAGTTTGCCATCTGTTGTTTGGCAATGTAGACCCTTTGGTACAGTGACTGTTGAAATCGAATCCCCTTCGATGTCTCAATCTTGTGTTCCGCATGCTTGCTAACCTGCTGCCTCTTCGTTACTTGCTTGCTGATACTCTCTATAACCCCATGAAACCCCATGGCCAGTCAGCCGATGACAGCGAGAGGGCATGCACTTCATCGGAAGCTTATTCGTCGCCCTCCTGGATGGGCTTTTCGTGCTCCATCATACCGATGGTTGGGCATCTTATCGAACTAGTTTGGTTGTGGAGCCAATGGCTCTACTGCATTCGTTTCAGCTGATAATTTTTATTCTTGTTCGTTGCTCCTAACCCGTTACTATTTTTCTCAATGCTATTAATCTTATCATGTTTGGTGACTTGTGTCAAAAGCACTTAATCCACTTTATTCTGACGCATGCGGTAGAGCTGATAATCTGAACTGAAGAACGTTTCAGTGTTTCAACTGTTCTCTATGTCTTAAAACATTAGTCACTAGATGTTCATTCGCCTGGTGGGACCAACAAGTGTGCTGGATAAACCCATTGACATTTACTTGTGCGTATTTGGCTTATTTTCGTTTCAAGGATCCTTCGGAATCGCTTTCGGATACGCTCAAGGTATTTGAAAACCGCTGTATGCGTATTGGTGTCCAGAAACTTCTTCAGTCTCTGTTCTAGTAGGGTGTGATGGAGACAATAGGTTCGCCACCTGAAATGTCGCTCACCACGAAGCGAATTGCTTGCCGTAGAAATGAACAACTTTCAAACATGCCATGTGGCACTGGACAAATTAGCATTGGCCGTCAGTCATTTTGGAGTATGATTTGCACTCTCGAAATGCAAAGTCCTTCCCTAAGATTGGTAGGAATCCACCCCTGCGCATACCCTTGATGGTGATCAGCTAGAAGTCATCGAGAAGTTCAAGTATCTTGGCGTCTATATTAACGCCCTTGGGATCGAAGACGAGATGATGAACCGTATAGTGCTTTTGCTAACCTTCGCTACCTACAGCGCCGGCACGACATCCCTGTCTCCCTGAAGCGTAAAGTGTACAATGCATCGGTCCGTTCAACTCTTCTGTGCAGTTGCGAAACCTCGCCCATCAACTCGACAAGCAGAAAGACTATCTACGTTCGACTATCGCTGCCTTCGTAGCTTCGCTCATGTCTGCTGGGAATACCGCGTGGGCTATGAACGTGTTCGGAAGAGTGAGTGAACCGCTCAGCAGCATTATACCACGCACCAGGCTCCGATGGCTAGGCCACATGTTGCGCATGCCAGCGCATTGACTTCGGCGACATATGTTTGCCAGCTGAGGGTTTGGACGGAAAAAGAGTGGGGTGGTTTGGTGACTCTGTGTAGATGAACTAAGTCTCTCACTTCGAACTCGGTGTCGGTTGGTGTTTCCCGACTACCTAGCTAGGGTCCGAAGGAAGATGAACACTTTCGGTTAGATACACCTGTTGATATGGCTAGGAGCCGACCTCACTGGTGTTTATGTTATGAGTCTCTTTGGTTTTCTTCTCCCTTTTAGCTTCCCTCCCTAACAACCAACCCAAATCATATGCATTATCTAATATTTAGCATTATATTATTTTTCTAGTGTTTTTAGTCCGTATTATTTCATCTTTTTAGCAACGCAGCACATTAGCTGAGGTATGTGTCTCTCGGCTAACATGTATTGCTGATGATGATGATGTTGATGCTTTTTACGTACGCCAAGCACACGTTGAAACGCACAGTTCGAGGCAAAACAGTACGCTTCCCTGACGACCAACTGGATAGTGGACGACAACGTAATTGTCTACCTTTGCACCCACCGCCCTATTTGAGCTACAGGAATCCATCCTACTCAAGTGCTGAATAACCAATCAAGATGCAATAAACATACTCGCATCAAAAATCTATATAGATATCAGAATAGCAGCTGCGTATATGCGTCCCTGGGTTTACTTGCTACCAGCGTCCTCAGTCGAGATTCACCAAGCCTCTTTCACAGGGTTGAAACCATCTCGGCTGGTGACGAAACCTTAATCATCAACTTGCCCGCGGATCAACTTTCTTTTCTTTTGGTCACAAAATTCTAGTCACTGTTCGCTTTGTTTTATGCCTCTTATGCCTAGCGTGGCTTTTGCCTAGACAGACCTATTAGCACAACTTGCTACTTATCCTGTGTTCACGATTTTTGAACACTTGGGATCTTGCCTACCGCTACCAGATTTGCCTTCTTCAAATGGGTCCAGCTTGGATTCATAACGGCTGCCGTTAGCGGAAGAAACTGAGGTGATTCGCGCGTTTGTTCTTGACATTTGACGCCGTTGGCTTTACAGCTTCGAAAATCATTTTAATCAACCTGTGTTATCATCTTTCTTTTCGGACGTTGAGTGCCCTTCTCTCTGGGCCGTCCCTGGGATCCCCGCAGTAGTCGAACGTGAGGTCAGACTGTTGTAATTGCATAAGGCCGCAAGAGCAAATAGACTATTTTCAGGCCTCTTCAGATTTTAGGGCCCTGCTCTTGTAGATGAGTTACACAACTTACTAATGAAGCTGTGGGAGCAGGATACTGTCCCAGCAGACTGGAACCGATACGTCATAGTCCAATTTTCTAGGGAAGCTCGCGTTTAGATTGTGCCAGACATAGAGATATCTTGAAAAGCACAAGTGGAAGACGAAGTTCGGCAGATGCATGCATTTCGTATCGTCTCATCAGTGCCGATAACGATAACCGGTAATTTTATATAACAGTTTATGGGTACAGACATCCATACAAACAAACGCGAGAAAAAGGTGTCTTTCGTCTACAACCAGGGCAGCCTGAGGCTGATCGATAATTGTTTTTGAACACAAAGCGCTGGCTTAATCCGACTAATGGCAATCGCCTCGGCAAACCGGAGGAGCTGGGAATTAGTATGGCGAAGTAGGATTCTGAACTCCTTGTTGACCTCAATTCGGTGACCTGTTGTCAATAAGTGCCTGCCGATCGAAGATGTTGGCGGCCTGCGTACACACGTAGTCCGATTTGGGCTTGCTTGTTGACTAAGCCTGCATTGAACCCATTTTTGTACGTGCACTCGGGCACTCAGTGTTTTATTGGTTCTGCCTATGTAACTATCCCCGCAGTTACATACGAATTGATATACGCAGTGGGAGTTGGTGCCAATAGGCTGAGTTTCCTTTAGTGGAGGCAACGGTAGCTTATGAGTTCGGTCAAGGATTACAACTTCGGCAGCACAGAAAGTGCTCTGTGTGGCGGAAATCAGACGTCTTCTGGTCCCCAAAGAAGCAATGTCACCCTTAAAGGGTAGCTCTAAGAATACCTTTTTCTTAGGCACAGTAGGTAGAGCAACTTTCTTTTCACGGATTTCGCTGTGCTTTCGGTTAAAGTTTCGAGCGTAGCCATTAACAATTAACGTGTTGGTAATTAGTTCTATTTCATCGGCTAAGCAATCGGTCGAACATATTCGTCTGGCGCGACTAAACAGGGTCTTCACAAGCGTTCGCTTGTGCCGAATTGGCGTAAAGCTGCTAAAATGCAGATACTGTCCCGACCACGTTGTTTTTCGATAGACAGACCATTTTACCAGTCCGTTATCCCTGCGGCTGATAAGAACATCCAAATATGGAAGACAGTTCTGTTGCTCGACTTCACAGGAAACCCTCAAATTGACATGCGATGAGTTAAAACGCGCCACTAACTCTGCGATCTGTGTTTCTGTTGAACTGAACACCAAGATATCGTCCACTTATCTGTTTGGTCACAATTGCTTCTAAGGTGCTTGCGTCAGTCGTTCTCCACAGACTGACTGCCACCCGTTTAAGTCAAATTGGTGGGGAACAAACCGAATTTCGTCAAAGTTGAGGCTGTATCGGTCACATCTTTACTTTGCGCCAATTGTTTGTGCACTGCCATGTTTAGTAACAACCCACCGTAGTCATGTTTCTCGGCATCAAAGATGCCTTTGATTTGGTTGCTCGATGTACCCTTTATGACTGTCTACCATGGAGATGTATACCCGATATATACGTAAACATTATCAGAGCGCTGTACCCGCATAGTTCGGGCAAAGTGAGCGTTCATGGCAAACTTTCGCCGCCCTTCACTATCTCCAGCGGTATGGTACAAGGTTGCCTCTGTCACCTTTTCTCGACACCTTCGCCGTCTACAATGCCATGAAAACGGTATTCGTCGGTCGCGACTTAAAAGCTGGGAAGCTGCTCCCAAGTGACTGACTTTTTGCACTGGAGTACACCGACGATATTGCCTTCAAATTCGACAACGCCAAAACGTGCTAAGTAGCACTGGCTGTCAGACATTTTGAGCTATGCTTTGTACCCTCGAAATGCGAAGTCCTTCCCAAGATTGTGATGGTCATTGGTTCTATCTGAAGTACAATATAACCACTGGGTTCTGAATGCATTTCAAATCTT